GAGAACGCATAGAGTGCTGGAGCCAGGCTATCTAAATTCGGAGCTTGTTTTTGGCATTACCTGTACATTACTCAGTACACTGAGCAAGTTTCTTGGCCTGAGATCAGTTTTCTCACCTGCAAAGTACAGGTAATGATGGTAGTAGCTATGGAGGGCTTTTTAATCAGATTATAAGAGATACTTTATGTAAAGTGCTTAGTAAGGTGATTGGCATATAGTAAACTACCAGTACATCTCTCTACTATCAATTCTTGCCAGCACTTCTGCAATACCCTACTCTAGCCATTTTCAAAATGTGATCCACAGACATTTTCAGGGGTCAGAGGTCAAAACTTTTCCAAATAATACTAAGAATTTATTTACCATTTTCATGTGTTAACATTAGCTTTGATGGTTCAAAAGCAAACTATTGCAGATCACAGTGTAGCCACTATGACGGCTATGATTAAAAAGACAGACAATAACAAGTGTTGCTGAGGATGTGGAGAAATTGGAACACTCATACATTACCGATGAGAATGTAACATGGTGCAGCCACTTTGGAAAACAGCTTGCTAGTTTTAAAAAAATTAAACACAGAGTTACTATATGACCCAGCAATTTCACTCCTAGGTATATATCCAAGACAACTGAAAACATATGTTTAAGCAGAAATTTATATATGAATGTTCATAGCAGCGTTATTCATAGTAGTCAAAAGGTGGAAAAAACCCTAATGTCCATCACCTGATGAATGGATAAACAAAATGTGGTATATCTACACCATGGAATATTGTTTTGGATAATACTTCTGCAGGCAGCTGTCCTGTACATTGTTAGGATGCTTAGTAGCATCCCTGGCTTCTACCCATTAGATGCCAGTGACACTTCTCCCCTCCAATTTGTGATAACAAAAAATGTCTCTAGATATTGCCAAATGTCTCATGAGCACACAGTTGCCTCCAGTTGAACATCTCTGGCACAAATTAAGAAGTATTCATAAAGCACTTCTGCTGCATTTCAAAGAACTCTCAAACAAGTGCACTTCTTGAGGCAAAACTCTTGTGGGATTGAGTTCCAAGCTGAATTATCTGCTTTTATCATGGAACACCATTTTTATTAAAAGATTTATTGGCAGACAAGCTGGTCAGTCAGACTTAGGTGTCTGGCAAACATATTCTTGAAAATAAAAAGTGAAACTCAGTTCAGGGAAAATATCTATTTGTTGTCATTGATATAATTGAGCTTTCAAGCAAAAATAAGAATTTTGTAAAAGATATACCATCACTGTGATCCTGACAGCTTCCAATATACTTAAAGATTCTTCTGATGATATTGGAGCTAATATTAACAAACATGGCTTTTTTTGATAATGTAGGATGCAATGTGCCAACATTTGGAAGATTCGCATAACTCAGGGAACCAATATTTCCAAATGACCAGTGTAGCATGTTACAAAATCACATATGATTTAAGAGATTTATTGAAAGTGCAACATGGACTGATAGCTTTTGTGTTTTTAACAGCTTTTTTGAAGTATAATTGGGATATAAGTAGCACATGTGTATACATATAAACACACACATAAAACTACCACATCAAGATAATGAATGTGAGTATCATTCCCAAGTTTTTGTACTCCTTTGTGATCTCTCCCACTTGCCCTTCTTCCCTCTCCTCACTGACAATTTATTTTTATTCTTAGTAGTATTCCATTGTATGAATATACCACGAATTGTTTATCCATCCACCTGTTGGACATTTGTGTTGTTCCAGTTTTTGGGTGTTACATATACACATATAGTTGCTGGTAAATATTTCTGAACAGGTCTTTATGTAGACACATGCTTTCATTTCTTTTGGGTAAATACCTGGGAGTGGAATGGCTGGATCACAAGTAAATATATGTTTAACTTTTTAAGAAACTGCCAAAGTGTTTTCCAAAGAGGTTGTACTATTTTACATTCCCATTAGTACTGCATAAGAGTTTCAATTGCTTCACATTCTCACTAACACTCGGTAAGGTTAGACTTTTGATTTTACCACTAAATAGGAAGAAAGTAGTATTTTGTTGTGTTTTTAAATTGTATTTTCCTAATGACTAATGATGTTGTGTATCTTTTTGTGTGTTTGCAATCCATATTTTTTTTGGGTAAAGTGTCTTTTCAAACTTTTGGCACATGTTTACTGTGATATTTTCTTAATATGGAGGGATGAGAATTTTAAAAATATACATTCTGGATATAAGTTCTTTGTCAGATTTGCAAATATCTTCTTCAGTTTTTGGCTTTTCATTCTCTTAAAAGAATTATCTTGAACAGACGTACTTAATTTTGATAAGTCCAATTTATTCCTTTTTTCTTTCAAGAATAGTGGTTTTGGTATCATACCCAAGAAACCTTTGCCTAACCCAAATTCATAAATATTTTTGATGCTGTTGTAAATGCTATTTTTAATTTCAATTTCAGATTGCTCATTGCTAGTATAATACAAATGCAATTGACTTTTGTGTGTTATTTTATAATCTACAGTCTTGCTCACGTATTAGTTTTAATAGCTTTTTGTAGATTCTGTAGGATTTTCAACTTGTCACCTACAAATAAAGCCGGTTTTATTTCTTTTCCAATTTGAATGTCTTTTATTTCTTTTTTTTTTTTCCTTTTTTGTCTTTTTTACTGACCGGTAACGGGATCGCAACCCTTGGTGTTGCGCCTGCACCGCGCTCAACCAGTGAGCGGGAACCGGTCTCCACATGGGATCCGAACCCTCGGCAGGAGTGCCTCCGCGCTCCCAAGCGGCACACTCTCCAGTGCGCCACCGGGCCGGCCCTGAATGTCTTTTATTTCTTTTTCTTGCCTTACTGCACAGGCTAGAACTTCCAGTACAATGTTGAACAGAAATGGTGAGAGCAGAAATCCTTGCCTTTTGTTCCTAAGCTTAGGGTGAAATCATTCAGTTCACCATTACATGTAATGTTTTTTACAGATGTTCTCTATCAAGATGAGAAAGTTTTCTTGTAAACCTAGGAATGGATATTGAATTTTGCCCACCACCTTTGTTGCATCTATTGAGATGATCGTATGGTTTTTCTTTTTTAGCCTTGGTTAATATGAATTATGTTCATTTTCCAATGCTAATTCAACCTTGCATTCCTGAGATAAACCCCCATTTGGTCATGATGTATTATCTGTTTTATATATTGTGAAATAAAAATAGCTTGAATTTTCTTAAGAATTTTTGCTTCTATGTTTACAAAATATAGGCCTGTAGTTTTCTTCTTCAATTTCTAGGGTTTGGGTATTAGCAATGCTGGCCTCATAGAATAATCTGGGAAGTATTCCTCCTCTTCAGTTTCCTGGAGGACTTTACGTAGAATTGGAATTATGTTTTCCTTTAAAATATACCAGTTTAACATTATACGAGTGGCTGTATTACTATCAGATAAAATATACTTGAGGGCAAAGAAAAGAAGAGGGTCATTTATAAAGTGGATTATTTCATGATGGTAAAACTTTCATACGGGATAAATTCATCTGAATAACAGAATAATTATGTTTATGCAACTAATAGAGCTTCAAAATACATGAAGCAAAAACTAATAGAACTACAAGAAGAAATAGAAAAATCTGCAACTGCAGTTAGAGATTTCAGTACTCCTCTCTTAATAATTAGAATAAGTAGAAAATCGGTAAGGATATATAAGATTTGAACAATAACATCAGCCAACTTGACATGACTGACATTTGTAGAACACTACATCCAACAACTGTAGAATAGACATTCATTTCAAATGCACATAGAACATTTACCAAGACAGACCATACTGTGTGGGCCACAGAACAAGTGTCAATAAATTTAAAATAATTCAAACTATACAAATCATTTTCTCTGATCATAATGGGCTTACATTAGAAATCAATAACAGAAAGATATCCAGAAAATCCCTCAACATTTGCAGACTAAATAACACACAAAGAACCCAGGGGTCAAAGAAGAAATCAATAGGGAAATCAGACAGTATTTTGCAATGAAGGAAAATGAAAACACAATTTATCAAAATATGTGAGATGCGGTAGTACTTAGAGGGACACATCCCACCAAATGCCTATATTACAAAAGAGATATCTCAAATTAATGACCTCAGTTTCTGCGTTAAAAAACCAGAAAGATAAAACAAAAGCTTTAAAAATAAAAAAAAATTTAAAAGCAGAAGAAAAGAAACACAAGAGCAGAAATCAATGAAATAGAAAACAGAAACACAATAGAGAAAATCTACGAAAGCAAAAGCGGGCTTTGAGATTTGAAGCTGATAAGCCTTTCGCCAGACTGACAGAGAAAAAGAAAGATGACACAAATGACAGATTTCAGGAATGAAAGGAGTCATATGTTATAGATATTAAAAAGACAATAAAAAATACTGTTACCAGATTTACATCAATAAGTTAAACAATTTAGACATTTCTACAAACAAACGTTCACTTGGGAAGAAGTATCAATAGATAAATGTTGAATTAGTGAATGCTAGTTACTATTATGGGCAGGGCGCCAAGTCCGGGCTTTGGAGACAAATAAGGCATTTTTGTCGCTACGAAGGTCTCAGTTTACTGGAAGGGAAAAACAACAAATAAATCTTAATACTGAACCGGAGGAGAATAATGGAGGAAAACTGGTTCAGGAAAGCTTCTCTGGGGACGAGTCTCCTTGCCGACACACGGACTCGTAAGAAACGTTTATCAGGACAAGAGCAGCTGCACGCGAGTTCGGGCAAAGGGCCCAGACGCAGCCCCCTGCGGACGGCCCTCCGCCGATTACCTGTTGCCCCAATCTTAGGCCAGTTCTACCCCTTTCCCAACTCGCTCTGGCAGCCGCACAGTAACCATCTTCCGCCAAGTCCGCACACGTGCGGCCTTTGCGCCTGCTCATTCGAGCAAAGAGGTGCCCGGAGGGGGCCTGGCGGCTGCCGGAAGTATGATCCCGATAGGTATTCCCATCCGGGGTCACGTCAATCTTCCGGGTGTCTTTGACAGGGCTTTTTACGCCGCTTTTTCGGCGACTCTTTGGTCTTCCGCTTTTTGCCACCGCCCCCAACCTTCCACACCCTTGTCGGCTCTGCCTTTTTTTTGTGTGTTGCTCCTCCCCTGGTAGCCGTGCCCGGGAATTAGATCGCTAGCCGGAACCGGAGCTGGGCCTAGCCATCCATCGGCTCAGGCAAAAGCTACGACCGAGCTCTCCCCGCCGTCGCTGTTCGGGCCTTGGAGTTCCTGGGCGGGCAGTGCTGGTAGACCCTGCGTGGCCCTTACCGAGGGACACCTGTGAGTTCAGGGGGTTTCGGAGAGGGACGCAAAAGTGTAGGCCCATGTCGGGGGCGGGGCTCGGGGAACTTTTTCTGAAACTGTAGTGTTCTGTTTTGCCTGAGAGGTTCCGGCACTTAGATGTCCCACACCAGACTTATGGGCGGTCCCCAGTCTGCAGTACTTTTTGAAGAGTCTTAGGACAGCTTACTTTTTTCACTCGTTTTCTCTTCCTCGCTTCCTGCTTCCCCACCCCTCCTTTTCTCAGTCCAGGACCAAAAGAGGAAGATTGTCTTGGCACTCCCACATGGTGGTTCAAAGGGTCGTGAAGAACTAAGGTAAATATCTGGATTAATTAACAATCAAAAAAGGCATTTATCTTTAAGACTTTTAATTAAATGGCATGGAATTGCCTCAGTTCTTCACTTTACGGGAAAACGCACAGGTTAGGACTGTCTGATAGGTGTATATCCTTCTTTTCCCGTTCAGCCTTTGTAGATAGGATCTCCATCTCGCTTTATAGGTAAAACACGAAGTTACGTGTCTCACAACTTCTGGATTATCTAAGTTCCCTGTCTTGTTTTCTCTCTCTTGGCTCTTTGTTTAAAATAGCAGTTTTATACGTTGTGTATACCAATTGGGTGAACAGAGAAGAAACAAAGAGAAACTAAAACTCAAGCTAAATTGACAACTTGTTAACAGATGTGCAGTATATGATATTGCGAGGAAAGAGATCATAACTCATCACTAAGTCTGTGTTTTTATTACAGTTAATGTACTACATTGCAAATACCATCATATTATTTGGTTCAGTACCCCAAGGCTTTTAACATGTACTTATTGTACAGCCATATTGTATGGTTCAGTACCCCAAGGCTCTTAGTTTATACTGATTAATAGCCAGTAACATTATTTTGTTGGTGTTAATAGCCCCGATTATGTCTGATTTGGAAATGTCTGGTAACAAGCTCCATGTGAAACAGGCCATTTATCAGTTGCTTAAGAAATGTCCATTCGGAACCATGTAACTAGGTTAGTTTTTTAACACTTGGATGGAATTTAATTCTTGTCAGCACCACACTCACCCAGTGAGCAAACCGGCCATCCCTATATGGGATCTGAACCCGTGGCCTTGGTGTTATCAGCACCGCACTCTCCCGAGTGAGCCACAGGCTGGCCCGGAATTTAATTCTTAATAAATAGGAATGTCCCGTTCAAAACCTGAAGGTGTTTAGGAAATAGACTTTTTGTACTGTGGAGAAAAGTGGGTTTAAGAGGATGAAAGGTATTTGGACAAGGTGGACAGATAACTTGATTTAGTCAGTACAGTTCTGGTTGTTTTTTTTTTTAAAAGAAGACCGGCAAGGGGATCTTAACCCTTGACTTGGTGTTGTCAGCACCACGCTCAGCCAGTGAGCGAACTGGCCATCCCTATATAGGATCTGAACCCGCAGCCTTGGTGTTATCAGCACTGCACTCTCCCGAGTGAGCAACGGGCCGGCCCTCAGTTCTGGTTTTTATACTAGGTAGATTCTGCTTTCCAAGGAATCCTGATGAAGGAATTATATAACCTTGAGTGTTCTCTAATTTGTTGAAGGAGAGGTCAAGTTGAGGACAGAAATTCCAAGTTTTAAGTTACAGGACTAAGTACCTTATCACTAGGAATTACTTTGTAAGCTATTCTTTTAGTACCTTGTCTCATGTGTGATTATTTACAAATAAACCTGTACAATTTCCCGGGGGGTCAACCTTAGGAAATAATCTTAAAAGTTCTCTTCTTAAGGCAAGAACCGATACATTGGTTTTAAAAACTGTTCCAAATTTACTTAGGTTATTTTATTTTATAATCCAGTATAAATTGAAAAGCTGATAGCTTTTAAGGTAATAAAATAGGATACTGCCAATATTTGGATTTTATTTATATATCATAAAATTTGTCACACCTGCTACCACAATTCATGTGGACTGATGTTTTATATGGTTCATCGCTACTTAGTGAAGAAGCCTTTAATTCAGAATACAAAGAAAACAAAAACTTAAAATTTTGTGGAGGTCATCTTAATTCTGGTACAGTAGTAGTTTTACTGGATTTTATCCTGTGAGGCTCTATTTTCTGTTTTTTAAAAAAATTCTTTATATTGTTAATGATAGATTATTTTGGTGTCATTTTAATTTTCATTCAAATTAATGTTGAAATGTACTAGGAAAAGGAATCAAAATTCATGGGCTTTTTGTTAACTGTCTTTTCTCAAGATGGTCATGCAGGATTATCTATGTTGGCGAGCATTGAATGCCATTGGTTAAATTCCCTAGGAATGATTCTCTCACTCAGAAGGCTGGACTGGCTAAGAGCCTGACTTGGGGGCCAAAATTCACATGGAGGAGAGCCTGACAGATATTTTGTTTTGGTGAACAAAACATAGGCTGAACTAGATATCTGCCCTAGACTGAACTTTTGGCTGTGGAATCATTCTAAGCTTTTAAGCCTGTGATAATTTGGTTATTTAACTTTGCAGTGTAGTTCTGGGCCACAAGACGTCTCTTGACTAACAAGATAGAAATAAGGTGTGGTCTGGGCATTTCGGGGTCTTCAAATCTGAATGCACTATGTCATTTTGGGTCTTCAAGTCTGAATGCACATGTGTAGGACCTTACTTGGGTCCAGAGGAAAAACATAGCATATTATTTATAGGGATAAATAAAAGTGTCTAGACTTTTAACTATGAACTGATTTAAATAATTCTGAAAATAGAACATTTTAATTCTAGTTTTTCTGAGTATAAATTTCTTCCTTTGATTAGATCTATGTAGTATCTGTTGTCCAACAAAATGAAATATCAAGCAAAATTTATTACAGTGAACTGTATTTAATATGTCTTTCTTTGTAAGTCCAATGAGATAGGAATTATGTTTTATGGGAAGTTAGGTCAGGGAGGCAGAGTAAAGAAGGCCAAGAAAGAGTGTGAACCTGGGCGAAGGGTAGAGCAAGATGTTAGTTGCCCATTTTGAACCTGGCAATCCATGATTATTGAATGTACTTTTAATAAAGTATTCCCTGGAATGCTGCTTTGTTCAAGATATTTGTCCATTTCCTCTGAGCAGTGAACATCAGGGGGTACAGGTCATCAGGTATGAGAGGACTGATTTTTTTTTTTCATCTCCTATAATAAGAGATAAGGACCTGCTGAAGAAAGTTGACATACTCTTGTTTTCTGGAGGTAATACCTTGTTTCTGGTCCAAATTAGAGAGTTAGACATTTGGGGTGTTATCTGATGATGGTCCAGAGACTTTTATCCACAATCTGTTATGAACCCTGGACTGGTGAATCTCCTTATCTGTGGCTGGTGTTGGGAATTTTAATAGTATAGAATTGAAAAAACAAGGAACAAAGTTTGTATGAGTTTATTCCCAGATCTACCTTTTTCTCTCCTGTGTTGTGTCTTCCAGTTTTTCCAGTCCTCCTAGTCTCAATCCCCAGAGGCAACACCTTCAATTCTTTTAGCTGCCTAAAAGGTATTTTCCTCTTTTTTTTAAATAAAAAAGCTTCTATAGGTCATTCTTTCAATTTATATTTACTGAAATTGAGGACTTAGCACTTTTTGTAACTTCTCTCATCCTCCACGTATATATTTATATATACACACACACAAATCGTGATTTTTAAACATAAATATATAACACAGTAATAGGTGTAATATATAAAAAATACAATATGTTATATAAAATAAACATCACAATTTTTGTTTAAATATATTCAATGTTTACATTATTGTAAGAACCAAGTAGGTAACTATGATTATATTTCCTTTTTTATATGACCTTTTGAGTGTGTTTTCTGTAGTTTAGTAATTTCTTTTCCTCTTAACTAGCTGCCTTTCTATATTTCTGTAATTATTTCTACTCTGTTAGGAGAACTTCTCTCTATGGTCAAATACATAAGATAATTTACCAGTTATTATTATTATTATTATTTTTGATATTTTCTTGAAGCCCTCCGTCCTTCTGCTCTAATTTGAGCTGTTAGCTTCCCTTCATCATCCTCCTGGGGAATTTACTTTGTTTCTGCCGTACATTCAATCTTTCTTTTCCTAAATCCCAAGTTCTCTCTCTCTCTCTCTCTCTTTTTTTTTTTTTGATACCTACATGTTTAAAATGTTTTTATTCTCCCTTGTGTTGCTTGTATAGCAAGGGATAGAATTATAGCCTGAGAGCATTACCTTCAGAGCTTTGAAGGCTTTAGTCTATGTCTTGTGCTATTGAGAAGTCTACTGCCATTTTGATTCCGAGCCCTTTGTTTATAACATTTCCCCCCTGTGGAATATTTTATAAACTTCTTTTTCCTGATTGTCTGAAATTTCACCATAACATGCCTTGATATGTATCTTTTTTACTATGCTTTATACTGATTGGGTCCTTTCAATTTGGGTATTGGTGTCTTTCAGTCCTGGACATTTTCTCGTTTTATTTATTTAGGAATTTCCTTCTCTGTATTTTTTCTGTTTTTCCTAGACCTTCTGTTATAATGTTGGATGTTGGACCACATAGTTTGACTCTCTTTTATTTTCCCTCCTGTTGTCCTGTCTCCTTCCTGCCCTCACCAATTTTTCCTATTCTTTCTAATATGTTTCTTAAATGTTACATTTAATTTTCTGCTGGATAGTTCTGCTTTCAATTTTGTAATTTCCATGGGCCCTTTCTTTTTATTTATTTATTTATTTATTTATTTTTTCCTTTTTGTCTTTTTCCGCGTCCGGCAACGGATCGCAACCCTCAGTGTCGCCCCCGTACCGGACCGGGACCAGCAATGGGATTGCACCCCTCGGTGTCGCCCCCGTGCCTCGCTCAGCCAGTGAGCGGGAACTGGTCTGTATGTGGGATCCGAACCCTCGGTGGGAGCGCCGCCGCGCTTCCCAAGTGGCGCACTATAGCAGTGCGCCACCAGGCCGGCCCGGCCCTTTCTTTTTAAATAGCATATTCTTGTTTTATGTTTGCAATGTCTTTTCAATAATCAGGGATTTTTTTTTTTTTTTGAGTGTTCATTTGTTCTTGGCATTGTTTCTATTTACTCCCAGATCTTTTATTCTTCTGGTGACCCATGATATATTTTAACTGAGAGGTCCTAGAAGTCAAATCAGAAGCTCTGTGTGTCTGGATGGAGCCTGTCATCTAGTAGGCTTCAATGCAGGTTGTAGTTAGCTTGACTTTTCCTTGGTGGATCCCCAACTGTTACTATGTTACAGGTTCTCTTGTTACTATATTATATAGTTTCTCTCTCAGTTTTTTTAGGCAAGAGTTTTCTAATTGATTGCTTTGGGAAGGTAGGCGGAGGGCCCTATTTTTACTTTGTAGACTTTACTTAATATAGTAACTGTTTTCAGTTTGCTACCTTACCTTACCTTTTGCAAGACTACAGCATTGCTGGATCAGTCATTGTGAAGAATAAATATCTAGCCTCCTGCCTGGGTCGGTGAAGGGTTCTCATTGCTTTATATAGTTTTTCCCCATTCCTGTGGAATAAAGCCCTCTTTTATTGGAAATCTTTTGTATTAATTGTGTAGACTTTGAGGGGAATCTCAGAATTTTATAAATTGTTAAGTGATACAGATTCCTTCCCTTGTTTGATCAGATCTGAAGGATCCACATCTTAGGAATTAGGTTGTCATATGATGGCTTATATCTTTGTATAAATTGGATTGAGAATAAGCGTAAGAATCTGTGGGAGTTCATTAAATGTCTCTCTTGAATGGTTTATTTTTCATCAGAGTATGTGGGGATACCTTGATTTTCTAAAAGATTTGTTGATATTTAGGGTAAATTTATTAGGGTAAATTCCTCAGAAAATTAGAAATGTGCATATATTTTGCTATTACTTAATAATGTGGTTAATCCAAATTTAAAATTTGTTATTAGTATTATTCTTTTTTTTTTTTTGGCTGCTGGCCAGTACAGGAATTGAACCCTAGATCTTGGTGTTTATCAGTACCATGCTCTAAAGAACTGAACTAACTAGCCAGGCCTATTAATGTTTTTCTTTTATCTACAGTGGAACTTAAGAGACCTATTTAAACTTTTAAAAATAACTTTGCAAATGAAATACATAACTTGGTAACTAATTGTTTTAAATAGCAGATAATAGTTATCAAAAAGTTCAGTATCTTTAAGATATAATAATTTAGTATTATCCTTTTAAATTATTCTAGGTAGAAGAATACATGTTCACTTTCAGTGAAAAAGAGCATGTTCCCAAACTCAATTTTGGGTTGCCCGCCCTTCACTCCAAGCCATCAACAACATAATAACTTCTTCGCCCTGTCACCAACTCTTTATTCACATCAGCAACTTGTAGACGCTCAGTTTAACTTTCAGAATGCAGAGTAAGTACGTGATATTTTGGCCCATATTGTTTGTAAATTTTGTTTTCTATTTGACATAAACCACTTTTGTATGAAACATTTGAAGGGAGAGAAATTGTCACTTCTTGTTCTTTTTTCATCAGTGTTTAGTTTTTCCAAAGTATTTTTTTTAAAGAAAAATATATGTATATTATTGCTGTTCTTTCTTTGTTTTTGGTAGCTTGTCTAGAGCTGTGTCATTACAGCAGCTGACATATGGAAATGTCAGTCCAATACAGACCTCCACTTCCCCATTATTTCGAGGAAGGAAGTAAGTACTTCTCACTTAATTATTTTAAAGGAAAATTTTGCATTTCTGAGAACTGTTTAACAATGTATGTTCAATCAGACCAGTCACAGAATTTTAAAATTTTTATGTTTTAAAAGTTTTAGAAGTTCTTTTGTTGATTTATTCTTGCCAGTATTGTAAATTTTAGATGGAATGAGGTTACATTTCTTCAGAAAACTACTTTTCAGTTGAGGTTTTTAACTAAATCAGATGATCTTCTGTATTCATTTTTTTAGGGTTGCCGTAACAAAGTACCACAGACTGGGTGGCTTAAACAACAGAAATTTATTTTCTCACAATTCTGGAGGCTTGAAGTCTAAGATCAATGTGTTGGCAGAGTTGGTTTCTTCTGAGGCCTCCTTGGCTTGTAGATGGCTACCTTCTCTCTGTGTCCTTATATGGCTGTCCCTCTGTCTGTGTTTTCTGTGTTCTAATCTTCTCTTCTTCTAAGGATACCAGTCATATTGGATTAGGGCCCATCCTAAGGACCCCATTTTAACTTAATTATTTAAAGGTCCTATTGCTAAATACAGTCACATTCTGAGGTACTGGGGTTTAGGACTTTAACATTTGAATTTTGAGAGAACACAATTCTCCTCATAACACTTTCTTTCTAGCAAAGTTTACTATGTATTTTTCTTTTGATTTATCTAAACCTTGCACAGGTGAGGTTTCATGATAACAAATATTATTGTAGTAAAATTTTCTACCTGACATAAAGCTGTCTACAGTCAAGTCAGGAGCCAACTAATTTTAACCTATTTGCTTAAAAGAAATCCATGCATTGCAAAATAATCATAGAACTTGAGAGGTGGTTATTAAGATAACGTTTGGCAGTATTTACAAGTATTGTTATTACTTTAAAGCCTGTACAAACATTCTGTAACTTTGATGTCCAATTAAAAATAACACTAAGAATTATTAATCACTCACTGTGTAGTAGGCATTATTCTAAGGACTTTATAAGTAATGATTTGATTAAGTCTCATAACACTTTATGAGGTAGATACTGTTATCCGTCTTCTGTTGAGGAGAGAGCTTAAGCACACAGGTTAAGTAACAGTTATGTAGGTGGAAGTGGCATAGCTGGGATTTGAAATCTAGTGGTCTGCCTCTGGATCCCATGCTTATAAGCACTACAAGTTCTTCAGAGTTATTACTGGGGCAAGTTATAAAATGAGTCTAAAAGTATTGACTTTATTCAGATTTTAATTTTCTTAGAGATTGCCTTGATAAACAGTTTGTGAGTCATGAATGAAAATAAATTTCATTAGTTCATAGTTATACATGTTTTTAAAACCACAATTGGTATTCTCAGTAGAAGATATTTAGCATGTATAGCTCTAAATTACATTTGTGTTTAAAAATATTAAGTATACTGTACACTTTTACCTGTGAGTAGGAATTCTAGTTATTTTGTGGATCTGTCAAGGAGAAAGAAGTTGGCATAATCCCAAAGGAGTATTATAATGATAATAAAATCTTCAGATGGCTATGGCCCATAGAATTTTAGAGCTTAAAGGGAATTGGACTATTTTCTATGGCATAAAATATTACCTAAGTGAACAACTTAATATATTCATGAAGTAAGTATCTTTTTTCCTCAAAAAATATTTACTTCTAAATTATTTTCCTCTTGCCTTTTATTTTGAAAATTTTCAAACCTTCAGAAAAATTTAAGGGATAGTACAATGAGCATCTATAGGCCTTTTACCTAGATTTATCAATTAAAGTTTTGTACATTTGATTCTTTCTGCCTCTTTCTCTTCCTACCCCCACACTTTTTATTTTCTGAATGATATGAAAGAAAGTTGTTGGTATCATTTGAATTTTCTCCAAAACACATCAGCTTATTCCTCCTAAATGCAAAGATATTCTCCTATATAACCAAAATACATTGATCATGCCCAAGAGCCCAAGAAACCTGACATTATTATAATGCTGTTATCTGATGCAGTTAATTTTCAAGTTTCCTCAGGTGTCCAATTTTATATAGCTTTTTTCAAAGGTAAGTATCTCTTAATTTGGCCTTTCCTACTCATGAGCCAGAACATAGGTATATTCAAAGAGACCTTTTTTCTGTATAGCACTTAGCTCACTTAACCTTATCCTCCTTAGTTTAGGGTTTGGGTCTTTTGTTCTTAGTGAGTTAATAATAAAATTTTTCCTACAAAGTTTTCACTGTTGAGATGAAACATGGGGGTAGTTCAAATGACTAATTCCAATATATACATGTAGTTTGTTTTTCTATGTGCGTTATTACTACTTATTTTTTCTAAGGTGTTGAGAGGCATTTCTTGTGCTGAAAATGAATATTTTAAAGATCCAGATAGAACTAATAATGTGACCTTACTGACAGTCATAATATTGTCATCTGTATGATATTTATGTATTTTTAATGGTTTTCTCTTTGTTTTCAGAAAGTTATGTATTTAATCACTAAGGTATATTGCTTGTTTTCAGGAGATTAAGCGATGAAAAAAACCTTCCTCTTGATGGTAAACGGCAACGTTTTCATTCACCCCACCAAGAGCCAACTGTAGTTAACCAGATAGTGCCTTTATCAGGTGAACGAAGATATTCAATGCCACCATTGTTTCATACGCACTATATACCAGATATAGTCAGAAGTGTTCCACCTTTTCGAGAAATACCGTTTTTAGAACCTAGAGAAATCACACTGCCTGAGGCCAAAGATAAGGTAATAATAATGTAGACTTTAGTTTCGCCTTTTGGGAATTTAATATAAATAATGTGTTCAAAGAACCAGAAATACCTAATGTCCTGGATTAAGGAGAACATGCCTTTTTTTGACTGTTTAAAGTACTGTAAGTACTGTTTCAACCCAATTTTCTGTGTTAATATTACTTCAATTTTTGTTACTGTTCCTTTATGGAAGTACACAGCCATACTTCCATAAAAGAAAATCAGATATTCCACTGATTCGTAAAAATTTGGGATTAGAGTTCAAAATGTTTGATCTTCTAGATAGTTCTCTTGTTACTTGTTCTTATTACAGAAAAATAAGTTTTCATATGGTATTGTAATAAAGTATTAAAAAGCATTTTGGGATATTTGTGTTTATCATGAGGCTTTTGAATGTCAAAAATAGAGAACCTAGGAGTCACTGAGAAAGTAATACATTCAAAGTGATATGATCAAGAAAGATTTATCAAAAACATTATTTGTAAAAAACATTTCACATAAATGAAATGAAACACAAAGTAATAATTCTTGGAAAATTACATTGTCAGCATTTGGGAACAATGACTTATTTTAACACCCAATATTAGAAGCATATCTTTCACCTTCCACATATTTAGTGAAACCTAAAAAAACAGAACAACACAAAAAAACTTCTAGGTAATCGAGAAGGGTTTATAATGTAATTATTTGCATTCTCTTGGATTGTCTATGGCTTACACTTGGCTGTTTTTGCATTTTCAAAGCTGCCCTACTTTTGAGAAATATGACATTTGTAGGGTAAGGAGGGGCCTGAAGAGAATGTAATAACTTTGTTTTATTTATCTTTGGGTTCCTAGCAACCAGCATAGGTCTAGAACATAGTGAGTATGCAGAAAATGTTGAGTCAGAAAAGCAATACCTGCTTCATTCCTTAGTTGTGCTGCTTTTTGTTCCTCTTTCATTTCTTTGTTCTTTAATTGAGTTATAATGTACCATAAGATTTCCCTTTAAAGCATACAATTCAGTGGTTTTTGGTATATTCAGAAAGTTGTCCAACCATCACCACCAAAACATTTTCATTACCCCCAAAAGGGACCTTGTACCCAGTAGCAGTCACTTCTCCATCCCCCTCCTTAACCTCTCCCTCCTCTGGCAACAACTAATCTGTTTTCTTTCTCCATGCTTTTGTCTCTTCCGGACATTTCATATGAATGGAATCACACAATATGTGGCCTTTCGTGTCTTGTTTCTTTCACTTAGCATGATGTTTTCAAAGTTCATTCGTGTTGTAGCATGTATCAGTGCTTCTTTCCTTTTTATAGCTGAAAAATATTCCATTGTATGGCTATATCATGTTTTTGTTAATGCATTCCTCAGTTGATGGACTTTGGGTTGTTTCCACTTTTTGGCTGTTATGAATAATGCTGTTATGAATACCTGAACCAATTTTTGCATGGACATATGTTTTCATTTCTCTTGGGTATGTACCTAGGAGTGAAATTGCTAGGTTATATGGTAATTCTTTGTTTGACTCTGAGGAGCTGCCAAAGTGTTTTCTAAAGTGGCTGCACCATTTTACATTCCCATCAGTAGTGTATGAGTGTTCCAAGTTGTTCACATCCTTGCCGACACTTTAACACTTGTTATTGTCTGTCTTTTTGATTATAGCCATTTCAGTGGATGTGAGGTGGTATCTCATTGTAATTTTGATTTGCAGTTCTCTAATGATTAATGATGTTGAGCATCTTTTTATTTGCTTGTTGGACATTTGTTTATCTTCTTTGGAGAAATGTCTATTCCGATCCTTTGCTCATTTTTTTTTTTTTAAAAAAGATGACCGGTAAGGGGATCTTAGCCCTTGGCTTGGTGTTGTCAGCACCATGCTCAGGCAGCGAGCCAACCGGCCATCCCTATATGGGATCCGAACCCGGGGCCTTGGTGTTATCAGCACCACACTCTCCCGAGTGAGCCACGGGCCGGCCCATTTGCTCATTTTTTAATTGGGTGGTTTTGTTTTTTCATTGTTGAATTGTAAGAGTTCTTTATATATTCTAAATATAAGACCATATCAGATATATGATTTGTAGGTATATTTTCCCATCCCATGGCTTGTTTTTCTACTTTTTGGTGTGCTTTGAGGCACAAAAACTTCTCATTTTGATGCAGTCCAGTTTTTCTGCTTTTCTTTGGTTGCTTGTGCATTTGGTGTCATATCTAAGAAACCATTGCTCAGTCCAAGGTCACAAAGATTAATGCCTATGTGTTGTTGAAGAGTTTTTTAGTTTTAGTTCTTACATTTAGGACTTTGATCCATTTTGAGTTAATTTTTGTATGTGATGTGAAGTACAGGGCACAACTTCATTCTTTTGCTGTTGATTCAGTTGTCCCAGCACAATTTATTGAAAAGGCTATTTTTTCCTTCTTTGTAATTCTTTTTGTACCATGAAATAGGTAAAATAATCAGGTAAAACAGTGGGAGAGAAGAAAAAGCAAAGTAAAATGAGTAAAGACTAACTTGGGGTGTTTTGGTACCATTTCCTCCCTCCCCAACCTTCTTTCTTCTTTCTTTACTTTCTCGTTTTAAAGAAACTCTTATAATGCTGTAACTGTGAAAGCCTGTGGTATAAATCAAATCAGACCAATTCTTTGAATGATTATATAAAAATCTTTTACTATATGTGGGCTTCAAAAAATATAGCATGTTGGTAGGCCCTTTTTATAAATGGAATTTATTATGCATAGATAGTAAAAGCTGTCTATTTTTGCATGTGTTTATATGTTTGTAATAGTTAACTATTAGAACTAATTACATACTAGTTCTGCATTTGGACTAGGCATATGTTGAGTCTCAGTAAACTTAATAACAGGTAAGTCAGATTAGTCACTATAAATCATCTGGTAGTGTGTGGTTCCATGTCAATAACTTTTTATTTGCTTAGTCACATAGAAAAAGATTCTACTGTATCTTACGTTTTTGGAATTAGGCATTTATCTCAGAGGGATAAAGATAAATTTTGTAGTTGAACCAAATTCTTTGATTGCCACTATCCCTGCCTAGATGTTGGAGAAAGATGGCAAGCAGTTCTTTGTTCATTCTTTAGGCAAATGGTTTTTAAGAAAACTAACATTTATTGATGTCTTTTCTCTTCTGGACATTTTACATATGTTACTTTATTTAGTCTTTTCAATAACCCCATGACATGGGTATTATCCTAATTTTATTGAGGCTCAGAAAGCTAAATAATTTGCTTAAGGTCACAACTAGTAAGTGACAAAACAAAGAATTGACCTTTGTTCCAAAAAATACAAAGAGCAGGAACTTAAGACACTTAAAATAAAGGTAGGGAGATGACGTTCTTAGAACTGACTATAATACCAGATAATCTGACAGCAATTACTAGTATTTATTGAGTGTCTTTCTTTGTCAGCAATGTGCTTAATTGTTTGTATGGTTTACCTCTGTTGAGTGTAAAGTGAATAGAGGGTTCAGTGTGAGATGAAGCAGTGGTTTGGGCCTTTGCATGTACTGTAGAATGCCACTGAAGGTTTTTGAGTAGAGGAATAGCACAATCAGATTTGTATTTTTAGGAAGATAATTCTTGCAGTATAGTGGAGTTTAGTTTGGAATGAGGTGGGCCTGGAGGATGGATGATCACCTTGAACGCTGTTAAATTCATTCAGATGAAAGGCACTGAAGCTTTCAGTTCTGGCAGATGGTAGTGAAAAAGGTGTGAGAGATAAACCTAAGTAAAATTGACAGAACATGTGTAATAATTGAATATAGGGGAGAGAAGGAGACATGAATGACTCCAATGATCTGATTCTGGGCTACCAACAGAGATAAGGAACCTACATTCGAGGTGTATAAGCTGATTGAGGAAATAGTCAAGAACTATTTGGAACTATGGGAAAGTCTAGTATAAAATTTGTGCTCTTAAGAAACCGCATGTTCTGTAAATAGCACACTAAACCTATAAAGCTTATGGGAAATAGAGCCAGAGCAGACTATTCAAAACCTAAACAATTTTGAAACTAGCACACTATCAGAAGTAATAATTTGTGCCATGAGAAATAACTTGGACAGACCAGGCAAGCAGCATAGCATGGCTGGATGCTGCTGCAGGTAATATTAAACATACACAAAAGAGAGTTGAGATGCTGGTTAGTGCTGAGACCAAGGCAGTTAAAAACAGAGCTCTGAGTCAGTGAAGCCGTTGTTAAGGTAGAGTAGAGACAAAAGGAAATGCACCAGTGCAGAGCTGTGTGAGGCTAGGGGTATATTTTACTGATCAGGAACTCTGGATACAAATGCTAATTTTTAGTTGTTTTAGATTTGTAATGACTCCTGCCTGTGCAGCAGCCATACTGAGGGGTTTTTTTTCTGTCTTCTGAAAGTTATAGTCCTACAATTTCAGCTCAGTGTACAATCACGTACACACCCAACTTCAATGTTATATCGATACCATTCCCCTATTTACCAATTATGTATAAGCTAATTGTTATTGTAGAAAAACGTCTTGTAACTGAACTGACAGTATATGTTTGGAGTTCAGAAGTACAGTCAGGGCCAGAAATATGGATTCTGAATACACCTGCATTAAAAGTGACAGTTGAACCTCCTGGAGTAGATTAGATTTTTTTTATTTAGTTAGTATTCAGCAAATTTGTGAGTTCTAGGCAAGGGAAATACAATGTTGTGCTAAATGAACATGGTCTCTTTACCATTTACGTATAGTGTAGTGAGAGGGAGAGCCATTAAAAATAATTATACAAATCAAAGTTTTATTTATATATTTGTAAGTGCTATGAAGAAAAATTACAGAGTGCTGAGAGAATGTATGTGAGGTTTCAGGGAAAGCCTGATGAGTAGAAGTTAACTAGTTAAAAGAGTGGTGGGGATGGGAAGAATGCTTTAGAAAGAGGAAATACCACGTTTGAAGGTCCTAGTGCAGAAAGGAGCATGGAGTGTGCAGAGAATTGAAAGAAGGCCAAGATGGCTAGAGTTTGGTGAATTAGGGGGAGAATCGTTGAAGGTGTGGTTGGCGAAGTGGGGAGGGGGCGGATAATGCAAGGACTTGTGTGCCATTTTGGTCTTCAGCCTAAGGACAGTGGTAAACTCTTCAAGTTTTCTTTAAAAGCAGGGAAGAGAGATGAGTTAAAAAGATTTTGACTGCAGTGTGGAGAGCAGATTGAAGCTGAGGAAGCATGGATGGCAGGGAAGTTATTGTACCATAGTATTCCAGGTAAAAAGTAATGGACCCTAGATTTAGGAAGTGCTGGTAGTGAAGATGTAGAGAAATTGATGGATTTAAGTTATATTCAGGAGGTGGAATTGATAGGATTTGATGATGGATTAGATTATGTTGTCTAAACCTCTGCAATATTGACATTTTAGGCTACCTCTCTTTGGTGTTGAGGGACTGTCCTGTGCATCCTACGATGGCTAGCAGCATTCCTGGCTTCTACTCCCTAGGTGCCACCAATCCCCAGTTGTGTCAACCAAAAATGTCTACAGACATTGCCAGTTGTCCCCTGGTGGGGAAGGGGTATTGGCAAAATTACCGCTGGTTGAGAACTGCTGGATTAGGTAGAGAAGAAGGTATTGAGGATTACTCTCAAGTTTCTGGCTTCTACAACCAAATGCATCCTGGTATCATTCACTGAGACAGAACAAAATGAAAGAGGAGCAAGATTTATGTGTGTGTTTAGTAGGGATTGTCTCGTGAATTCTGTGGACATGTTGCCTTTAAGATGCTTTTGAAGCATCAAAGTGGAGATTTAGAGTTGATAGTTGAATATAGAGATCTGGAATTCAGAAGAAAGGTGTTGGCTAGAAATGTACATTTGGTAATAATCAGCATACAGATGGTAATTAAAGCCAAGAGTATGGATATGATTGTCCAGGAAGAGAGTCTGTATCCAAGACTGATTGATATAGGTTGAGAAACAATAGGAAAACAGGAATGGAAAGTAAGTATACCTAACTGTTTTGGGAAATTTGGGTGTGAGGGGGAGGAGCTGAAGGTAGGAAGTTGGGACAAAAGCTTTTTTATTTTACTTTTTTTAAGGTGGGAGAAACTTTATCCTCATATAAATGTTTGTGGGAAAGGTTCAGTAGAGAGGGAGAAGGTTGACCACTCTGGAAAGAAAAGAACAATCATGAATAAGGTTTTCTAGAGGGTGGAAAGGGAGTGGGTCCTTTGTATGGATGGAGTGATTGGCCTTAGGTAAGAGAGTGCTTTTTCAAACTGGAGGATAGGAGGAGAGGATAGGATAGAGGGAGTTTTGTAGATATGGTAAGAAGTTATTGGAGTTCCCATGGTTGAATGGCTTCTTCCTGTTTTCTCTCTGAATTACTGTGCAAGGTCATCTGTTGAGAGTGGAGAAAGTGAAGTGGGATGTAAGAGGTTTGAAATAGCATTTACTGAATTCAGGAAATCAATCTGACAGAGAAAAAGAGTGGAGGTTTGAAACAGCATTTGCTGGATAGAATAGAGGGCTCACTTAAGATTGGTTAATGAATTTATTCTGAAGAATAATAAATCAGTCAGTTGAATCTGCCAGCTCCAGGGAAAGATTTTGTTAATAGAAGTTTTCTTAACTACTTTGAGGATTCATATTCTGTCTGCTGTAAGCCTAAAGAATTGAATTTTGAAAATGAGTACCCTCTGAGTTTAAATGTGTTCCTTTTTAAAAATCTTTTTTTTGTTTTCAAGTTGCTGTTTTAACAAACAGAACTCTTGAAATTCGAAATCTGAGTTAACTTTTCTGAATTTTAACTTTTACTTTAGCTTTTAGGTGAATATATGGTTTCCTGCACCAAAAAAAAAAAAAAAAAAAAAAAAAAAAAAGGCTGTAGTGGAATCAGAGTTATCCAATAAAATAAAAAGATGATTTTGAAGGATGATTTTGAAGGAATTATTCAAAATTTCTTGTGTAATGTTTAATTTTGTAAAGGGGCAAATATTATGGAGCCTCTTGACATCCTTGGAAGAATATTTCGGCAATAGTTATCTCACAGGTCTGTAAGGGGCTCTATCTTTTTAATGTATGTGTCTGCCAAAAAAATTTGAAAGCCACTGAGATTTGTATAAGTTTAAGATATAAAGTTACACTGGTCAAGAGTGTTCGGATCCCCTTACTGGCCAGTTGTCCCCACCACCCCATCCCTGCCAAGTGAGGTTATACCTTACACAGAACACCTAAACCAGAGCTCAGCACAAAAGAGGGGTTGGCTGGTTTGCTTAGTTGGTTAGAGTGCATGCAGACTTAGGTCATGGGTTCAGATCCCTGTACTGGCCAGCCACAAAACAAACAAAAAAGCACAAAAGAGTTCAAGTAAAAGCTTGTTTATTTTTTTCCCATCCTCCTTATTTAGCAGTTGTTCCTTGGCCAGGTTCAAGAAATAGTATGTGCCTAAAAGCAATCAAATGTCAGGAGAAAAAAAAAAAAATCAGTAATCTACACTGCCATCTCAACCTGCCAGTTTACAAATTATGAAGGTTCTACATTGTGTCCACACACAAAAACGTAATAATTTAACACACTAACAAGGAGTGGGTTGTTTTAGGCATGATATTTTTCTGATTCTATTTTATTTTAGGATTGGTTACTTTGAAGGGAAAGGGAATTCAGCATCAAGAATGAATTTAAATTTTTATTAGGCATCTAGCTTTATATTACTTGGAAAATTAGTACCAGCTCTTTCTACAGTTATATGTGTAACAAAGATTAAGGCAATAGAAAGCCTGAAGAATTGCTAGTTTTTATTGACATGTTTATGAGCCAGTGACCTGTTTTCTGGATCATGCTTACTTTTATTTCTATTTTGAAAGGTCATTGCTAATTTGTGTTTCTTGTTTGTAGGTAGGGGAAAAAAAGTTACCATTTTTTTATACATTGTAGTATATGATCAGGTCCCGGTATTCCCAGCTAAAAGGTTTTTTTTTTTTTTCTTTCTTTCTTTTACATGGCGACCCAGCTAACAGGGACAGTGGAGAGGCTGCTGAGAATACCATGTGAAAGTTACACCTTAAGCTTTGTATATTGATGTGTTTGTTCTGAATCCAAACCCATACTTTACTTGTTCTTATAGTGGCTTATATTGATCTCAGACCATGATAATTTTATTGGTAATTTAATTTGAGTTTGACTTTGAGGACAGTTATATTTTTTAGGAAAAAGCGAACGTATACATTTGGAAGAAATATTTATTTTAATATTTTAAACTATATGTAGGTAAATCTTTTTGTGCAATTTTACGCAGATGTAAATTTACTTACAGTGAGAAGTTAATTAATTTTAAGGTAATAGATCCTGGTAGGTACCTAAACAGGTGGTATTATAGAGATTTAAACAACTTTAAGAATAATCTCTTTTATAGACACTTTGTTGAAATAGTTTTTTTTTTTTTTAACTAAAAATAAGGAAAAATTTACCCCGGAATGAAACAAAATAAAATTAAAGAAAATTCTTGAAGGGCCATTATGCATAGTTAGCTTGGTATTACATGTGTGATTTAAATCATACGTGATTTCAGCCAAGGAGATTTCATACCATATCTCCCCCCTTTCTTTTTAATTATAAGAACATAGAGCCATCTCTTGAAATATTTCTCTAAATTAAGCAACTGAAGTCTTGTTTCAGCATATATAAGGGTACTTCAACAAGTTCATAGAAGGATTTATATTATCTTTTAATTCCATTTCTTCATGAACTTGTTGTACCCTCATTTGTGCATTTCTTTGAGTTTTTGTCTCATCTGGACTCTATATGTCAGTTCTGGGGTAAAGTAACATGATTTAATAATGTGAATCCCTAAGTAAATGTCTAGATAGTAAGGAAAATTCTTTTATATATAAACCTATTAGATCTTTATTATAGTAGTCCTTGGGAAAGAAAAAAATGTTTTCATGAATGTAAAAAAGGGAGAGGAGCAAGAATATGAAATTTCATGTTTTCCACATAATTATAAATTTCTTTCACATGAGGATATTTCCACATGAACATGGTCATTCAGATGAAAGAACTTTATAAATACAATAAAATTTCATTTTGGCATTGTTGTAAAGAAATTTACTACTTTATTTTGTTATTCAACGAATAGTGAGTACCTACTAGACTTCTAGGTTTATGTTGATCTGCCTTACTGATTCTATACATCTGGGCTTTGCAAACTTTTCCTGTGAAGGGCCAGATAGTAAATATTTTAGGTTTTGCCACTCACATATGGCTTCTGTTGCATATTCTTATTTGTTTGTTTTTATAACACTTTAGAAATGTAAAAACCATTCTTTGCTCATGGGCCATACAAAAACAGACAGTGACCAAGGGTTGTAGTTTGCTAACCCATGGATTATAATCATTATGAATTATCTGTGACTGTACTTTTCTGGGACTTGTAAGCAATGTTTTACTTTATAAAGTTTATAGGTAGTTTTTCAAATCATTCCCCATCTGAACTTGAATAACAGTAGCTTTGTATCAGAAAATGTTAAGAAGATAATATTTATTTTTAAAATACTGTCTGTAGAATTAATTTACACTTCTCAGTTTGGTAATTACTTTTACATTTTTGAACAAAACTTTCACTTTTTTTTTTGCGGTGGATTCAAGTTGAGTCAGCAGATACTGGAGTTATTTGAAACATGTCAGCAGCAAACAAGTGATTTAAAGAAGAAAGAACTCTGTCGAACACAGCTGCAGAGAGAAATTCAGCTGTTATTTCCACGTATGTTTCCCTATTTTGCATGCCCTTTATATATATGCATTCCTATTTTAAATTTTAAATAATATCATTTTCTTCTGTTTCTCTAGAAAGTAGACTTTTTTTGGTTGGGTCTTCTTTAAATGGATTTGGTACTCGGACCAGTGATGGTGATTTATGCCTAGTTGTTAAGGAAGAACCTGTAAGTAATAAAACATTTATTCCAAGTGTGTTTCTCATGTCAAACCAGTTAAGAAATTTCATATAGTCATTGAGGAAAAGAACTTGCTTTGTTTTAGTTACTTCTTTAGATTTTCTGTTTATCATTATTCCAGGAAACCCAGGAAATACTTTTTCTTTTAGGGCATGTGCACAATAAGCGTAATAGGATTTCTAGCATTAGTTTAGTTCTGAACTTTTAAAGTGAGATGGCTTCACTATGTGTTTTTAAAGAGCTCTGCCTCTATCTTGAAACATCATTGGGTTGGATATGTTACTAAGATGCAGCAAAGAGGAGCATGTGGCAGTATTATCTTTTTGATATATTTCCTTTCCATTTGAATTCTCAGTGATTCTATTTTTAATCTTTGTTTTTTTTTCCCTTGAAAATGCTGTATTGGGTTTGTGATTCTTATTTGGGGAATAGAAAAAGATTTCACTGAAATTTATTTATTTATTTATTTATTTATTAAAAGATGACTGGTAAGGGGATCTTAACCCTTGACTTGGTGTTGTCAGCACCATGCTCACCCAGTAAGCTAACCGGCCATCCCTATATGGGATCCGAACCCGTGGCCTTGGAGTTATCAGCACCACACTCTCCTGAGTGAGCTACAGGCCGGCCCTTCACTGAAATTTAAAATAAGACTATGGTAATTTATTAAATTTAATATATTTTTTTCTGACATTGTTTCTTTTTATTTTTAGTTAGCAACCAAATTATGTTATTTAGTATCATGTTTGTTTGAATTTCCTGTTAACCAAAACTCTTGTGTATACCTTAATACCACAATAATTGATGTTGATTAAACTGACCCGAAGCAGCCTTTTTAAGACGTTGAGGTCTCTCTTAAACTACTGCAAATCAGAAAAAGATTTATTCCAGGAAAGAAACTGGTGTTTTTCTAGGCTTTGAAATTATATAAAGGAAAGTAAAAATGCCCTCAAATTCTAAACATAGTAGAGAATACAAAAATTTTAATTAAACTTTCTTCTCATGCAGCTAAGAGTACACTCAGGCATATCCCACTAATCCTCCAGTATTATTCACATATGTGATTCATGTTGTCATAGCTTATATTCAGACTGAGACACCATAGCTATGAACCTGTTCTTAAGCATCTCACAATCTAGATAGGAATAAAACATGTTACAGAAAGTTAAAATTCTGTTTATTTTTGTTGGAGAGATTTGCTTTTTGTACATTTATACCGAAGGAGAAAAATAACATGTACAGGTATTTCAGAATTTCCTTAAGAACTATGCCTTAAGTTTAAAAGTAGGAGTTCATTTAGAAATGTGAATGTGATAGACAGCATTAAAAGGCTGGCTTTTTCTATGATGTAAATCAGTGTATATTGAAAAGTAACTCCTAAGAAAAGTATACCTTTTATATTTTCTTTTTGTTGAGATACTATGAGAATATGAAACACTAAGCTTAGAAAGATAATGAGAAAACACTTTATTTTTAACTTTTCAGTGTTTTTTTCAGGTAAATCAGAAGACTGAAGCACGGCATATACTCACCTTAGTCCATAAACACTTCTGTACTAGACTTTGTAAGTCTGACATGCCTCAAGTTCATATGTCATCTGACATAACTATTTATTTAAAATGTCTTTCGGTTTATTTTCTGGTAAGAATTGTTTATTCTGGTCAGGGTAGGTATAATGTGGATCTTTTTTTCCAAGTGAATTCCTTTTAATTTTTGATTAAAAAGAAGAGTGACCATTTATTCAACAAATCTTTATTGAGCTTACTTGCAAAATATCCCACTGAATGCAGTGGGGGATTTGAAGATATATAAGCTTCTGTTCTTTTTCTCAAAAAGTTATAACCATTAGGGAAACTACGGCATGACTATAAATAACTGTAATGCAAAGTAGTTGTGAATAGCCAAAAGAGTGATAGAGGTAAAGTCCTATTAGTGATATAGGTAAAGTGCTGTTAATCATATGAGGGAGAATTTCAGCTGTTTTGCAGTGATATGCATCTTTACTCGTTTTAAAAATATGATCACTGAACATGAGGCCCAAGTGTATTACTCCAATAGAAAGCAAAATTGTTGACTGAGACCATTTTGTTGTAAGATTTTATTATTTGAATAAGCTGACTGTGAACAGATTTTAATCCACATGTTAAGCCATCTCAAATAATATATTTTAAACTTCTACAGAATGTTGTAGAAAGTTAAAGTCACGTCAACTGTGTGATGTTGGAAAGACATTTGTATGTTTAATAGATGCTTATGTGCCAGGCTTTGAGCTAGAAAATACAAAGTCAAGTAACAAGTTACTGCCCTTGAACAACTTGTATCTATTGTAGAAGAGAAAGAAATCACATGATTTATTTCTGTGGACTTAAGTTTTTGCATCTGTAAAATAAAGGAGTAATTCATAACTTGGTGTGTGTGTGTGTGTGTGTGTGTGTGTGTCTCTCTCTCTCTCTCTCTCTCTCTCTGACCCATATCGGGATCCAAACCCTTGACCTTGGTGTTACCAATCAACACCATGTTACCATGTTCTAACTAACAGAGGTAACTGGCCAGCTCCTTAAGTGGGTTTTTAATCATAAAATATTAGAATTGGAAGGAACCTTAGAGATCATCTAATTCAAATGAAAGGCTCTTTTTTTTTTTTTTTTAGGGAGAGGAGGTTGTTGTTTTTAATAGTTAAGAAAACTGGTGGTCATTGGGTTCCGTACCTTGCCTGAGGAGGATAGTTTGTCAGAATTCGTACTTGTTACTCAAAACTTTTAACTCCTTATTTTTTATTAAACCTCATTGAATTTCTGCACATAAATTCTGCTTTGAAGCTTGATATATTTTATAATTTTGATAAAAACATTATAACAAAATTTTTATTTATTTTTCTTTTTTTAAAATCTGGTACTTTTTCTGTGGTTAAAAAATTAGAAAATTGCTCATTTGGGAAATGTTTGCAGAGTTTCTTTTCTCATATATTTCCGTATTTTTCTAATTTCCTATGGCGAATGTGTATTACTTTCAACTCAATTTTTAGAAAAAGTTTTTGGAATAAAAAACTCGTATGTGTGTTTTTTCTTCTTAGAGATTATATACTTACTTGAATGTGTTCTTGCCATATGTATCATGTTGCCAGCATTTCCATATTTAAGACTCTGTGAATGTGATTTCTGTGGCTCCATAATATCTTACTATGTGCTATACCAGAATTTAGCTATCCTCCTGCTGCTAGCCTAGATATTTTTTAAATTTTATAATGCTCTGATGAATTTCATTATAGATACTAATAGATATTGGACCGCGTTACTGAAATAACCTTAATGTATAAAGCCCTTTAAATGGTATTACTGGACCCTGCAGTGTTAGAAGAATTCAATAATGTCCTCACTTCTTTGCTTTCTTTCTCAAAGACAACATTTCCTTAAATTGTTTTAGCTTAGTAAAATACTATTTTTTAAAAAAGTGTGTTGGAACACTATGAATTTGAGAAACATTTGCAGATACATTATTTTTTATCCTTCAGCTGGCTACATTGAGAGACCTCAGCTGATTCGAGCAAAAGTGCCAATTGTGAAGTTCAGGGATAAAGTCAGGTAAATAATTACCGAATTCTCATTTTTTCAGTTGCTTTAGATCATTTTTAGATATTCATCTGATGTAGATAATTAAGAAATGTATGTTGTAACACAACAGTTTACCTTTATCAGTTTCTAGATATCACTTGACTTGTTCTTTGAAATTATTTTTTTAAGTAGTCTGAGCAATTCTTCCTCTTGCTTAACTGCATTTAGTTACTCTGCTGGACATTTTGAGTATTTGAGACTATTCAATTTAAAGAATATATATATATATTTATATTTTAGATTTTTAAATGATATCTTGCCTTTTGGAAAAGTAATGCATTCTTAAGAACTTCTTTAATTAGTGGAATTTGATGTATATTTATATGAAGGGGTTTATTATAAATACAATTATGATTAAACAGTTATGTTCCATTTTAATAAAAGATACTTATAATACCTAGAATAATAGATATAAAAGAAGAGTAGCCAAAAATACTTACTTTATTGCAAAATTCATATATATCTATATATTCTACCAGCTTGTGTTCTGTATTACTTATGGGCATTGAAATTTGAATATTTTATGTAATATCTGAATATAAAATGTAAATAGTTAGGTGTTAACTTATTAGTTAAAAATATTTGTTAATGTATTCTAAAAATAGATAGGATTGTGATAAATCAGGGTTTTCTAGCCCAGTTTTACAAAAGGACCTGAAATAATATACTCATAAACAGACGTGCACAGAGTTGATCCTTATTATTTGTGGATTCCATATTTATAAATTTACCTACTTGCTAAAATTTATTTTTATTTTTATTTTTTGTGGCTGGCTGGTACAGTTATCTGAAGGCTGGGCTCTAACCAACTGAGAAACTGGCCAGCCCCTAAAATTTATTTGTAACCCCCTACATCAAACAAGCAACCTTCTCATGGTCTAATTAGTACCATGTTTTTCACATTTTTGTGCTTTTTTGCTGTTTAAAATGGCACCAAGCATAGTGCTAAGGTACTGTTTAGGGTTTGTAAGTGAAAGAAGGCTGTAATTAATGTGCCCTCTGTAGAAAATGTGTTAGATACGCTTTATTCAGGCCTGAGTTACAGTGCTCTTGGCCATGAATTCACTGTTAATGAGTCAAAAATATATATTGAATAAGAAGTTTTTGAACAGAAACACAACATAAAACATGGGTACGTATCAGTCAGTTGATGAAAATATTGTGATTAGGCTGGCAGAAACCTAACTTTGTGTTTATCCTAGGAGCAATGGTTTAGTATTTGCTAATTCAATGTTTACAGTGACTTTATAGAATATAACTACTGTGAATTATGAAATGGACCGAATGTATATATTTTAAATAAAACATAATGCCTGGTTCAAGCCTTCCCTTCCATTTATCCAAACATACATCCAATCTATAAATATTCATTGAATTTCTGCCAAGTAAATAGTGTTAGAGTTTTCTAAAACACAAGCATATAAAATATATAGGGAGATAAATGTAAAGTCAAATGAAAATATAGCTAATTATAATAGTTTTGAATATGTGGTTGTAGTCAGTTACCTAAAGTTTTATTGTTTTTCTAATTAAGATTATTATACAAACATTTTTTGTTGTTAAATATTCTTTATAAGCACCATTCCATCATTCTTCTCTATACAAAGCATAAAAACAAAAACAAAAAACCTCCTCTCTTAACACCCAAAGATAATTAATGTTGACATTTTAGTGTAAACCTTCAGTCTCTTTTCTATGCATATGAATGCATAAGAATTTTTCAAAGTAAAGTTCGGATCATTTTTTTTTACTAAACCATATAACATGAACACTTGCTTATGTCATTAAATATTTTTTTCTGTGGTGTCATTTTTAATGGTTTTGTAGTATTTCATTGAGTGAGTAAAATGTCATTCCCCTATGTGTGAACGTTTAGTTTGTTTCTAGTTTTTAGCTACTATAAATCAGCATTTGTGCATAAAATTCTTTCCATATTGAGGTTTACTTTCTTAGTATTTCCAGAAGTAGTATTTGAAGCAAGTACTGTGGATATTTTTAAAGCTCTAAATTCATATTTTTGGGAAAGTTTTAAATTGCAGACTAGGGCCGGCCCGGTGGCGCACTGCTACAGTGCGCTGCTTGGGAGTGCGGAGGCGCTCCCACCGAGGGTTCGGATCCCACATACAGACCGGTTCCCGCTCACTGGCTGAGCGAGGTGCGGGCGCAGA